TCCTGAAGAGCAGGGAATCTTTTCCTATGACCCACCAGTGCTTTCATCACATCTGGAGAAACTAAAGTGCTATTGTCCTGAAACAATAGTTCATTTATGTTCTGCAGAATGCTACACATCGAAAAACAAGAGTTTCTGAAAGAATGATATGTAACAAATCATATCCTGCTCTGAAAATAAAGTGAAATAGCTTACATTATCTTGTTCCCATAAGCAACTAAAATATGTAGTATACAAATACATTAACAGGACTTTAAAAAAAAATCTCCTATTGAACAGGAATCTTATGGGGGGGGGAATTGTTTGCCACAAAAAGGCAGTAATTTTTCTTCTGTTCTCTGGTTCCAACTGGTTCCACTGAAGTTCCTCAAACTAATGATCTCTGGGCTGTAGCTCAAGAGAAGGACTGTAATTCCCATGTGACTTTATTATATTGGCCAGGCTCCAAGAGCTAATTTAGGCACTCCTAAGGAACGAGCCATGTCCAATAGGATATTTGATGAGTTTTGAACAATAGACTTTTATTCTGCGTTACAAGCTGCTTTTGAAAATGTCCTCCATTTCAAAAGCAGTTTGCTGTACAGTGTGGTAAACAGAACGCTACAGCTGCCTTGGTTATGAAGAACAAGTTATGTGGTTCTTCAGAGCTTCTCCATACTGACTAAATGGTGGGGTGGGGGACCTACTTTTTGTGTCTGCTGAATACTTGAAGAAGAAGAAGAAGAAGAAGAAGAAGAAGAAGAAGAAGAAGAGGAGGAGTTTGGATTTGATATCCCGCCTTTCACTCCCTTTAAGGAGTCTCAAAGCGGCTAACATTCTCCTTTCCCTTCCTCCCCCACAACAAACACTCTGTGAGGTGAGTGGGGCTGAAAGACTTCAGAGAAGTGTGACTAGCCCAAGGTCACAAAGCAGCTGCATGTGGAGGAGTGGAGACGCAAGCCCGGTTCCCCAGATTACGAGACTACCGCTCTTAACCACTACACCACACTGGCTCACACACCACATTTTAATAAACTATAATATCTTGAGCAAGCTGATATTGAAGAAGAGCAACACACACACACACACACGTTAAATTATGTTTCAACTTCTTCTTTTTCTCCAGGCCATGTTTTGAGGAAGAAGAGGAATCAGGGTGCTCTTGGTTTTCAGATAGATAAATGTGACATTCAAATTCCTGCCTCCAGCTAGGAAAATCCTTATTCTAGTCTCTTGGAGAAAACATGCATGACATTGGGACAGCATTTCTGATTTATTTCCCCATTGATCACACAGTTGCTACATTCATGCATGCTGGGGATATGCCCCTTTCACTCTCCATCTTTACCATCTCCTCACACTTAAGAGTCCTGCACAAAATTCACAGTATAAGAAGTTTTAACAGATGACTATTTCAGAATCTATAGGAATTAAAGGAGTATGCCTTATTTCCACATAAGGCAGCTGTAGGGAACTTCCAGCCCATGGACCTAATTAGACCCACTAGGTCTCCTCATCTAACCTCTGAGGTTGTTAAGGCCACACCACATCTCCTACCCCTGCCATCATATATGACAACAGTTGTGGTGTAAGTACAGAGCTAGCTGGACCAAAAGGGTTTGTGCAACCCTGTGAAGTGGGCTTTGCAAGTGCTGACAAGCAGCTGATAATCAGGGCTTATAAAGCACTGGCACATTTTGAATAACCCATACGGCAAAAATGGGTCACTTGATGTCATTGGGATTGACAGGTTGCCGGGGGTAGGGTGGGGGAGAGACGTCCAGCCTGCCAGACAGATTGAGGTCCCCATCCCTGAGGAAAGTGTAGGAAACCCCAGAGATCATCTGCTAGTCTATGTAGGCAATGGTGAGATAGATGGACCAATTGGATCTGAATTGGCTGTTGTTGTTGTTGTTGTTGTTATAATACCCCGAGCCTCTGACCGGGTTGCCCCGATCATGCTGGGTGGCTTCGAACAAAATATAAAAACACAGTAAAACATCAAACATTAAAAGGTTCCTGATACAGGGCTGCCTTCAGTTGTCTTCTAGAAGTCATATAGTTGTTAATCTGTTTGACATCTGATGGGAGGACGCTCCACAAGGCGGATGCCACTACCGAGAAGGCCTTCTGATTGGTTCCCTGTAACTTCACTTCTTGCATGAGGGAACTGACAGAAGGCCCTCAGAGCTGGACCTCAGTGTCCGGGCTGAACGATGGGGGTGGAGATGCTCCTTTGGGTATTCAGGGCTGTTTAGGCAACTTGCAGTGTTCCTAACTGTGTGATCCATATACTCCATGCTTGCAGCTATATTCATGGAGTCCTCTGATCTCTTATGAAGCAAATGTATGTGGGCCAATGTTATTTTCAAACTTTGTTCCTGAAAGACATCAAAACTTCTGCTTTGAACTGTGCCCGTATCCTTATAGCTCTAGTGAATGTTTTAAGACTTTCATTCTCCAAAACGTTTATGCCATCCATCTCTTGCATCAATATGTTTTCTTTTTTCCCCTTTCCTTTTTTTTTTTTTTAAAGAAGATGTCAAAGATTCTTAGCTTCAGTATCATTTGTCACACAGCCAAGCATGATATTGGTACTTTTGGCAACAGGCTATAGCAACAACACCAGACATTCATTTTGTTTAAAGAATTCTAGAGGGGGGAAATTCTCAGTCTCCTGTCTACTTCTCATTAAAAATGACCTTTGCTCAAAAAAAAATAAATGGTCAAAACAAAAAGATCAACATCGGCTACCTCTAAAACCAAAAAAAGGGGAAAGAAACCCTCATATGGCTAGTATTGCATCTGTTAATAACATATCCAATCAATAAGCTGTGCCACAAAAATGAAGAGAATGCTTGTCAAAGCTGGTGGAGAGACAAGTGGTATGAAAGAAATAGCAAGCTGAATCATATTTCAAGTCTTAAACATGAACAGAAAAATGATTAGCCCAAAAGTAGGCTACATGCTATCAGCAGCTCTCTGTAAAATCTATTAGCTGCTTTGCTTAATTTTAGGAGGATTTAGCACTTGCAGACAAACAGTAACAGATGTTGGAAGGGGAAGTGAACCCAAACACAGAGGAATGAAAGAAAGGTGAACAGAAGACAACAAAAGAGGCATATGCCACGAAACTCTCTTTTCATTCCTCTGGGGTAATTTGCACTCTGTGAAAAAAAGCCTCTTGCTTCCACAGGAATGCTACACATGCTCAAAAGTTTTTTGTGAAAATCTGGAAATTATAAACACGCTAGTCGACCAGGAAAAAAGTGTCCACCTTTACATAATCTCACAGAGGACATCTGCATTAACTATCTCTGTTCCAGTCTCCAAGGTGGCTATGGAACTGCCTCCCAAGGGAAATCAGGGAGTGCTCTTCTTCACCTGCATTCAGGAAAATCCAAAGTCTTATTCAGGCTTTGGCCTGAATGAAGTTTTTAGAGTGCAGTCTGCAAAATATTTAGGTTGGCATCCATAGTGTCATTATAAAATTAATTTTACGCCCCCCCCATATATATATTACTACATTGAGCCTTCTTGCTTTGGGGACGTAGGATGGAGAGAGACATGAGTTTCCATTGTACAAGTGGAAGTCTTTGTGCAAATGGAATGATTTTGTTGGATAGAATAAATTGTTCTTTACCACACACACACACACACACACACACACACACACACTTCATTGCTGTTCATCATCTGGGAATAATAACTGAGAAACACTGTAAAAATGGGTGCCGATATATTTCTTATTTTATATTCCATCACTGAATCGCAAGGATTCTCAAGGCAGCTCATATAAAAAAAACCCCTAAAAGAATCAATATCAGGAAAATTGAAACAGATAAAACACTTAGCTTTTAATGATAACTGATGCTGCTACTGAATCAATCTGCTAACAGGAGGGGTGGAAGCAGCAGTTTGAGCTTTTTCTTAGGAATCATCAAGGAGAGAGCCCAGTAAATGGGCAGAAGGTAAGCATTCCGTAATCAAAGTATATATATGCCTTCTCTTGTCACCACCCACTTTATCTCAAAAGGTAGAAGTGCTGTAGCTTGGCCTCCAGAGAAGATATCTGAAAGTATTTCACAGAGCTCATAAACTATGGAATTCCCCTAAGAGGTAGTAATGGCCATCAACTTGGATGGCTTTGAAAGAGAGTTAAACAGCCGCATGGATGCTATTAGCCCAGAGATGGAAGGAAGAAACAACCCTGACCAGAGAAGACTGGCAAACCAAGTTGATGGACTATGCTGAAATGGCAAAAATTAACCAGGGAGCTCAGAAATCAAGAGGACAAGAACTTTAAAAAAGAAGGGGGAAAGTTTATAATTTATTTACAAGACCATTGTAAGCAGGTTAAAACATTAGCAGGATTTTAATCACACTTGTAAAGTAATGGAAAGTATGGATTATTTGGTAGGATAAAACTTGGATAAGTATTGATTTGCTCTTGTAAATATTACCATTAGGACCCATGGAAGGAGGGTCAGGAGAGTTAGAGTAATTTCGATATTTGGATCCTGAATTGTTTTTTGTTGTATGTTTATATATATATTTAATCAAATAAAAAATGAAAATAATAAATAAAAGAGTTAGACTAATTCAGGAAGCTATCAATGATGACCAGCCATGATGGCAATGTTCTACCTTCATTGTTGGAGACGGTATGCCAGTGAATACCAGTTGCTGGGAATTCCAAGTGGAGAGTGCACTGTTGCACTCAGGTTCTGTTTGTGGGCCTCCCATGGGTATCCTGTTGGTCACTGTGGGATCAATGTGCTGGCTAAGATGGGCTTTGGCCTAGGGCCATGAGGCAAGCTGAGACAACCACTTCAAGTTGTGGAAGCCCACCAGGTGGTGCTGCTGCTGAGAGCCCCCCGCCTGTCCTCCTGCCTCTGGACAAATGTGTTGGGAATTTCATTCCTCTGTGCTGCAGATGTGTGATTGTTGTTGTCATGCGTCTGTGTTTACATTCCACAGTGTTGGATGTCATGGGAACGGAAGTTCAGATACACTGTTTCCGTGAAATTGCTTTTGCCTTTTCTCTTCTCTTGCTGATGAAGAAAGTAAGAGGAGCCACATTTTCCTTTATCCTCTAAATAATAAACGTAGTGCTTCGTATCCATGCCTCAAGCCTCACTTTCGCTGTCTGCTGATACAGACATATCTGCTGATACTGCGTGCAGATGTTTACGGATATCTGTCTCACCGGTGGCTCAGGAGGAAGATTAATCACCTGAGTGGCACTTCGAAGGGAGTAACACACCAGCCGTGGTATTGGTTTCACAATAAAGCAGTGGCGGCTTACTGTAAAATGGTGCACCACCACACAACACAAGAAAGTCAGGCTTCAGCAGTGGCAGGGGAGTGGGATGAACTGCCACATTCCCATTTCATTCCAAGAAGCAAAACAGGAGGCTTTGTCCCTGCTTATCCTGATCCTATAGGCTTTCTTGTGTTCTTATGATCTAGAACAGCAGATCTTAACCTGTGGGTCCCCAGATGTTGTTGGACTACAACTCCCATCATCCCTGAGCTCTGGCCTTGCCAGCTAGGGGTGATGGGAGTTGTAGTTCAACAACATCTGGGGACCCACAGGTTGAGAAAGGCTGATCTAGAATGATGGGCTGGTTTGTAAGATAATCCTTCACCTGCGGTTTGTTGGTTTGTTGGTTTGTTTTAGGTCAAAACCAGCATTTTATATTGTGTCCAGGAGCTCATTGGTAACCTTTGTTTTTCTTTAAGGACATGCAAGATCTGTTTCCTGTGATTCATTTCTTCAAAAGCCCATGAATCTGCATTAAGCTGCAGTTTCCTGTAATCTCTCCAGTGACCTTTTGAGCATCTTGCAAATTGGCTGGAAGAGTTTCTCAACGGAAAGCAACCCCCTTTTTAAAAAAACAAAACAGAAACCCAACAGAAAATGGCTGAACAGTTTAATTCCTCCATGCAGACAAAACATGCTATATGACTTCTCATATTGTGGCAGTCATCTTCAAATGCCTAACGGGAATGAAGATCCAGCGCTCAAGTGTTCCTGCTTGGTAGCCGGCAGCAAAATGTATGATCCCTTGATCAGCCAAAGGAGAAGAAATGAATGTTGCTGGAAGGATCACTAAAAGAAATTCAGCTTTGTTTTCCGTCCGGGTGACAAATCTTTCTGAAGAAAACATTCCAGCTGTATAGAGTTACTAAAATATTTATAATTCAGATATTAAAATATTTAATATATGTCCAGTAAAGAAGGGGGAAGTGCTGCAACATTATGCCTCGGAGACCAAATTTTAGTATAATACCACCGTATAACCTTCATATAGAAATATGGATGTGTTAGATCAGAAATGTCTTTTTCACAGGGTTCCCCCCCCCCAAGAGTCGCCTCCACCACCATCCTCTCTCCCTTTTTGAAATGGTCAGCCCTACACTGAACGTTCCCTTAAAATGCACGATTTGTAAATAGCAAGATTGCAAAGATTGTTTTGAGCATAATGGCTACCCCGGAAGAAAGAGAGTAGATCGAATGGGAAAGCATTTGCTCAAAGAAAAGCCAATCAGGATCAGATTTCCGCCCTCGGTACACACCGAAAAAGACCTGAAAGGCCAGCTTGTCAGCAAATGTTTAACTACAATGAAATTCATGCCTGCCTACAGGATTCTAATTGGATATTTCAGCATAATTTCGCTCTGGGAAATTCCACAGGGTAATCTTAGAGCAGGCTTGCATCTCGAACTGGAGCCTGGTTATAATTAATAGTCTCTGAACCTTGAGGGTGTCACCCTTACCGGAAGATTCTCTGGTTTGGGGGGGGCAGGGAGCGCAGTGAAAGAAAGTAGTGAAGTGGGTTTAACTTTGGAAGCAGTTCATAAAATATGACACGAAGAACCAAGCACTCGTTGGGCCCGTAAAGAAAAAATAAACGGGGGACAAATTACCATAAAGCAGAAAAGCTACATTGAAGTGAATTACCTTCATGAAAATTTAATGCAAATGACAGAGGAGCAAAGCAATGCTTTATGTTCTGGTGTTGAAAGGAAGCTGGTAGAATTACAATTTATGAAACATTCTCTCTGTCATGCTTAACGTAGATCATACTAGTGAAAACAAAGAAGCTTCTCCCTGCCTTATTACTTTTGCAATATATGTAAGCTATTTACCAGTAAAATATTTTCATTGCATTTGTTATTTGCTTATATTTTACCCCTGCAATAGTCTATAGTCTCTTACAGCCAGTGTATTTTCCTTTTGCCTCAAAGAGGCCCGTGGAGCACAAGAAGTTGGATTTGATTTTATTTGCTTTTTTTTCAGATAAAATTCCAACACTAGGATTAGTAGTTTTAAATCTCTAATTAAAGGTGATTGCATTGTTCAGAAATAGCGCTCTTCTCTTCAATATCTTCAACTCCAGAGAATGAGTCTGGCAAGAAAAATCTATGCCTGCTGCTGGCCAGAAATGAGGTTTACTGACTGCAGAAACAATTCCACATGGCAAACAGCTGAGCTGTGCTCTGCAATGGGATGATGCTACTAAAAGGTGTGGCTGGTGCCAGCATAAAGCTTTATGACTAGCAAATGGAATGGGAAATGCCATAGCTCACTGTTAGAACACATATGTTGCATCGAAAAAGTCCTAGGATCAATTCCGTACACCTCCAGATTTAAAAAGGCATTTCAGATACCATGCCTGGGGAAAACATCTCTGCCTAAGACCTTGATGAGCTGCTGAACACTAGGAATTGCTAAACCTGGGCACACATGTACCCAGAAAGGACTTCACTGGCTCAGCAGGATCACATCCCTCCCCCTCACTGAAATTAGGCTTGAAAGGCACATTTTATTATCGCCAATAGAATAGGTTGTGCTGTCTGCATGGTGCCTACAACAAAATCTCCAGTTTGGAAATGGGCCCCGAAAAGGCAGTTGACCTCTGAAGTACACAAGACTTCAGGAGACCCATAAGTAAAGGGCAGCTCTATACATTCATAATTCTGTTTTGGTTGCCGTTAGGAGACAGCTAAATGAATATATTAAGATGTCTGCAGGTTTCCCCATTAAGAACAAATATTTATTTATTTCATAAAATTTATACACTGCTTGGTTGTTGTTTTTTAAAAAAGAACACCATCAAAGCTGTTTATGAAAGCTGAAACAGTAAAATAAAGGAAAAAAATACAACCCTACTTTAAAACATACACAAGTTAAAATTACTTCAATTTTCTAAATATATTGTCTTTAAAAACTAGTTCTAATGGCTGTACTCCCACCTAAGGTCTGCAGTGGTTGTAGTAATTTAGAGACAGGAGAAACTGGACTGGGAATTTTGAGATGCTCCTTGGAGAATGGGTTTCTGAGATGGAGCCAGATCCTCTGAAGGTGCTCCAGCAGAAAACTAGTTGTTGTTAATTAATACAACACTGTTAACTCTTACTTCCACACCACCTTATTACTGTGCTGTCCTCCTTCCTCCCCTTTGCATGTTGAAGCTGCCACCACATTGCCATGTGAGATTTCAGGTCTCTCCCTCTTGAACTTTTTGGCATTTTTAAAGGGGCAGTAACTGTGATAGATCACATCATTTGCATGAAAATGTCCAGACAGGACTGAGAAATAATCCTATTTGAAGCCTGAAATTTTGTTGCTAATCAGTATATACCAGGTAGGTAGCTGTGTTGGTCTGACACAGTCGAAATAAATAAAAAAAATTGTCCAATAGCACCTTAGAGACAAACTAAGTTTGGTCTCTAGACCAGGGATGGAGAGCCTGTGGCCTTGACCCTCCAGATGTTGTTGGACTGCAACTCCCATCAGCCCCAGCTTGGCCAGTGGTCAGAGATTATGAAAGTTGCAGGTCAACAACCTGTGGAGGGCCACACATTGCCTGCCTCTGGTCTAGACTCTACTGAGCTAGGTGGACAAATGACCTAACTTAGTATGAGGCAGCCTCCTATGGCACCTGCCTTGAAAGAAGACCTTCCTGAAGAAGTTTAGACACACTGGTGTTCAGCAAGGACAGGCACAAGTGGAAAAGTAGAAAAATGGTAGGAGGAGGAGCTGAAAAGTATGGAGCTGAAAAGAAGCAAGCTGCTTGTTCAGTCCATTTATTTTAACTAATCGAAGCTAAAGTACCTAAAGACAGCTTTGCAATATGAAACATGACTTTGTTTACTTTTGGCTGTGTATTCATTAGAATGGCTGGTTTTATTTATATTAAACTTATCAAGATATCATTTTGTCTCTTTACTTATTAAATGCCCCTATTCCCCTGCTGCTCAGAGTTTCATCTCCTTAATTCAGCCTCCAAAGACTCTTTAGTTAATGTATATTTGAGGTATCACTCTGCTTACAATGAACTGCGTTGAAAAGTATCATCAAGCCTTTAGCACAGAAAGAAATCAATCTAGTGACGGTAAATGGTCTGTGGTCTCACAGGGATAGGCTCATCTGTTAAAACTTTAAAGCCATACAAATCAAATATCCCTTCCCTTTGTAGAGAGCTTTATCTGGAATTAATGTTTGTTAACCCTTTGAACACCAGTTCCCAGATTGCCATTCTGGCATCTAAAGTCTTGAAGTTAATCTTTATAAGCAAGATGATTTATAAGACTTTTAAAAAACCAGTTGCATTTTAGGGATCTTTTAAATATCTGCTTTCCACAACTATTTGCATTTCACCATGTGTTTGAAATATTACAAATTCTCTTAATCCATCAAAGAAAGTCTGAAATATTCATTACAGGATGTATGAATTGTGTGTGTATTTTTTTTGATTCTGTAACAAAAGACACTCTTTTATTTTGATTTGGGGAGCAGTTTGCATACTGTCACTTCGGACTTCTTGGAACCAAACTAATTGGTATGATGCCTCTTTGCAAACCTGAACTTATTTGTCCTAGACAAATCCCATGGTGATCAATGGGACTACTCCAGAGCAAGTGGCTCAAAGTGGTTTGCAATACCATCTTATATATGTATCCAGAAATATCCCCCCCTCCAAGTTCAATGGTAGATACTCCTATTTAAGTGTATGTCAGATTAACCATTTTGCTAAAACCATAGTAGTTCCTGGGGCATACCATCACAATCCCAAATAATGCCGTTGCCCAGGGGACATCTATTCAGTTGAATGGGAAGAGCAGCTTGCACCACAGAGATGTTTCTTTTTCTGCATGCCAGACAATAACTTTCTGTGCTTTCTACAGAGAGTTGCTGTCAAACAATGCACATGAGTCCCGGGCACCCAAAATGATCAAACAGTAATATGCAAGCGGGATGATGAAACACTGCCCAAACCCTCACCCGGTATTTACCTGACAGTTCCCACTGCCAGGTATTGCTTCTGGGTCCCTAGCTGCCTCACAATTATTCCAAAAAAGTTAACCAGGTACAGAAATTGTAAATAGCTCTACCCTATCCGTGTTTACTCAGAATCCTATAAACTTACTCTTAAGCTATTGGCATAGTATTGGGACCTTTGAAAACAACAATAATGGTCATTAGCCAATATGTATTGTGCTACATGCTTAGTTAAAGCTGTGGTTTTCCCAGTAGTGATGTATGGAAGTGAAAGCTGGATCATAAAGAAGGCTGATCGCCAAAGAATTGATGCTTTTGAATTATGGTGCTGGAGGAGACTCTTGAGAGTCCCATGGACTGCAAGAAGATCAAACCTATCCATTCTTAAGGAAATCAGCCCTGAGTGCTCACTGGAAGGACAGATCCTGAAGCTGAGGCTCCAATACTTTGGCCACCTCATGAGAAGAGAAGACTCCTGGATAAGATCCTGATGTTGGGAAAGATGGAGGGCACAAGGAGAAGGGGACGACAGAGGACGAGATGGTTGGATAGTGTTCTCGAAGCTACCAGCATGAGTTTGACCAAACTGCAGGAGGCAGTGGAGGACAGGAGTGCCTGGCATGCTCTGGTCCATGGGGTCATGAAGAGTCGGACACGACTAAACGACTAAACAATAACAACACATGCTTAGATGATGAATTTGTATTTTCTCTTGAGGAAGAAAACCTCTCAATTTAAGGTCATAAGGACCTAAAAAGAGCCTGCTGGATCAGGCTAATGGCCCATCTTATCCAGCATCCTGTTCATGCAGTGGCCAACCAGATAAATGCCTGTTGAAAGCACAAGAGCCCTCTCTTCTCCTGCAGTTTCCAGCAACTGGTATTCACAAGCATTACTTCCTCCAACTGTGCAAACTCCCATTGATGGCATTAAGAACAGAAGGCCTGGAATTTTGCTTGAGTAGTAATTAAAGATCCAACTGTATGTTTTAAAGAGATCAAAAGTGGGGAAACAGTACAAATGAAATTAGTAGAGGAGGCCTAGAGTTTCTCTTGTAAACAGCTTCATCTCCATTATGAAGGCAGAGTGCCATTTTAAAAAGAAAGCCAGGTGCACCAAGAACAGGAAAACCCCTTAAATCGATTAGGCAGAATGGGATTTTTGATGTCAAGTCTTGTGGGACTCAGTGTGTTTTTCATTATTTAAGCCATAAAACATTTCAAATTAAGGGAGTGGTTGTCATGGATGGGCTTATTATAAAGCACTAAAGCCCAGGATTGAATTAGTTTATGATAACCACATATCCTAGAATAACCTTTTGCCGTTATAATAAAAAAAGAAGAAATCTTTATAGTGTGGGCAAAGTATGTATTTTTTGTGTTTGGAGAATTTAAACTGGCAGTTCAAAATGTTTAATAGCAGTTCCAGCTGAGCTGTGTGGTTTATGCGGATTAAACTGCCTACTTAGAATGACAATGAGACAACCAATTCAAATTATCCTTCAGTCTAAGCAGTTTTTTTTAGATTAAAAACGTCTAGTATAATGAAGACCAGATTGGGGGGGAATTCAAAAACCCATCTTCACATCCACCACCCCAATTTACCATATTATTTTCCAGAACTGCATTGTGTTAATTTACTTTCAGGATTCCGCTGCAGCTTTAGGAACTGATCAACACTTACCTGGGAGTACCGGTAGGTCACAATTAACTCAATGGGATTTACTTCTGAGTAGAAGTACATAGGATTAGGCTGCCAGAATCTTGAAGCATATTGAACAACCAGCCAATTAAAAGAGTGTATGCCTTCAGGCAGTGCTATTTTTCCTAGACAAAGAGGTGCTTAGAACTCACCGTGAACGTCTTGTTTTCTTATAATGCCAATGGCGCTCACCTGATAGGTGCTGGACCTAAGTTCTGGCGAGTTCTGGCTTTAGAAAAACCCTGCCTTCAGGCACAGGAGCAACTCTTTGTAACTGTACATACTGTGGCAACTTTGCATGATCTCACAGCCATCATTCAGAATGCAGCCCTTGTAGAAGCTGGGATATTATTATTATTGTCTGAGTCCATATCTTGGTATAAATTTCAGTGTTCTAATAAGCATAATAAAGGAAGTGAGCTCAAAGCTCATTTCAATTATGGTTTCTCAATGATAAGACCATGGTTTCTCAGACAGCCAGAGTGCTGTCGTGCAATCGTGACTAGGGCAGGAGGCCAAAAGAGCAGGTGGAGCAAGAGCTAATGATAAGTCAACTAATTGTTTTGTTCTCAGCTTTTTTTCTTTCTACTTCTGCAGCACTAAGACTGAGGAGAAAGAAGGTGGCAGCTGGTACCAACCCCTGTACTGGCTGTAAGTAGGAAAGGAGGCAGGTAAGGGCTGGCTGACCACAAGTTGAGGTTGGTGAGGCAGTGTCTCCTTTGCAGTTATGGACTAGCTTCTAATGATTAGAGTGTTGGACTAGGATCCGGGTTCAAAGTGCCAGTCAGCCATTAGGTTCACTGGGTGATGTTGGGTCAGTCATCACCTTTCAACCTACCTGACAGAGCCTAAAATGGGAGACCTAACCTCAAGCTGCTTGAAGGAAAGGTAGGAAATAATATTAATCCTAATGATGTAATAATAATAATAATAATAATAGGCAAGCATATGTGTGAATCCAAGGCTGGTTCAAATAATCAGTGCTTGGTGCTTCCTACTTATTCCTTTCCTCCCTGACATAGCTGCTGCTACTGCTGCTGCCTCCTCCTCCTCCTCCTCCTCCTCTTCATTGTCTGACAGGAGAAGGTTAATAAAGCACTCTAAAGCTCAGAAACTGAAATGACTGAGGCACCATCTCCTTCCATGATAGACACTTGGCTACAGGCTGGTTTAGTAGCTTTCACCAGTCGTCAGAGGAAGCTGCACTGGATGAGGAAGGGAAATGGCAGCTAGCTGAACCAGTGTTTGATTTGCCAGTATGAAATTCATCTACTTTCACTCTCTACCCCACCCCCCAAAAATGAATTAGCAGTACAAAGCCCTAGGATTGCAATGGTGCAAATCAAATATAATGGGCCAAGCCTATGAACAACTTTGTCAAAGCTGCAAACAGGTGTGTGTCTGTGTGGGTGTGTAAATGTAGTGTTGGAAAAGGCCATGAGGCACATCTGTTTGAATCCCCTGCAATGCAGGAATCTTTTGCTCAACATGGGGCTCAAACCCACAACCCGGAGATTAAGAGTCTCATGCTCTACCGCCTGAGCTATCCCAGGTAAACAGAATCTTGTGTTACTACCAGGAAGATGCCACAACTTAATGAACCCTACTTCAAACTGCTTCTGCCTGTTTCTTTGACATACAAGACTACTGTAACTGCAATGAGAACAGGAAGATGCAGAGTCCCTCCAACTCCAATATGGACCTTTTTTTGTCAAAATGTGTGCTGGATACATACAGAAGGGCCAGAGATGAGTGGCAATGACTTCCTGGCCAGCAAATCAGAGCCATTTACAGTGGTACCTCAGGTTACATATGCTTCAGGTTACATTCGCTTCAGGTTACAGACTCCACTAACCCAGAAATAGTACCTTGGGTTAAGAACTTTGCTTCAGGATGAGAACAGAAATCGTTCAGCGGCGCAGCAGCAGCAGGAGGAGGCCCCATTAGCTAAGGTGGTGCTTCAGGTTAAGAACAGTTTCAGGTTAAGAACAGACCTCCGGAACGAATTAAGTACTTAACCCGAGGTACCACTGTAGTTGTTTCAACTAACAACCAGTTGTTGGTTGTTTCAATAGTATATTCTTCCAATATGGTATGGTTGTGACTGCAGCCCTACTTGGAAATGCAGTCTGGTGAAATCTGAGACACAGAGCTGACCGGGTACACAGTCACATGTAGAAACAATGTGCACTGAGATGCACATGGAGAAAACAACAGCACCAGTTTACATAATTGCTGTGATTGGCAAATATGTTTCTATCTGTATCTGGTTCATGGCAACATTTCCCCGCAAGCAAACTGGATATGTGCTTGTGGCTAAGGAGAGGCTGTGGATATTAATGCGTAGAGGAAATTGCCTGTGTGAGCCGGTACTTACTTTCAAGTAAATGTATTTAGAATTCAGATTCCCAAGATGCTCTTACCTCTCCAAGCAGATTATATCAATTTAATGTGCAATCTTGCTTGTTAGACAGTAGCTTCATGTATTGTGCTTGTACTATTTTTAATTGGTTGAGCAACTTAATATTTCATGAAACAGGATGGGGAAAATGTATGTGTGATTTTTAATTTGAAACTATCCCTGCAACTGCCCTGTCTAGGCACAAATCTCTTTTCTCTGCTTCTTCCATTATTTTTTTTAATAAATAAAAATGTTTGCTTAAAACTCACATCTGCATGGCACCTTTAAAATAAAAAGGGTCAAGAGTCTTCGTGGTCCAAGAACATTTACTAATATGGAAAAGTGTGTGATCACGCCCCCCACTCTGAGTTTTGCATCTGTTGTCCATCTTCCTAACATCTGGGATGATGACTGTTCCACTAAACAGTGTAATTGGTGGTTAGAACTGGAAGGAACTTTTCGTCTCCAGTAGGCTCCTAAAATATTGGGAAAATGTCAGACGTTTTACTGAAATTAACATATAAGGAAATTAAACGGAGGAGCTGTCTGGTATGGCCGTCATTGTGAAGGTGGTTAACTGAAAAACATTGTAGGAACTCAGGATGTTAATATTCAATGAGACAAAAAAGGGAAGGTGGAGAAGAAGGCCCACAACGGCTGAAGTGAGCAAAGTGGCAGTGGGCCTGAATAAGGCTTGTCGTGGCTTTGTCTCTATTCATTCACCAGTTGTATCTCTTGGACAATGAGTGTTCTTCTCTTTTCTTCTCCTTTAGACAGTATCAAATAGCTGATCATGAAAAGGCAAGGATGATGTAACAGTCTGTTATTTATATGGAAGTTCAGCCTTAATAGGAACTATTCAGAAGCTAACATTTTGGCATCAAGTTACCAAAGAAATGCCCGAAGGAGTCCTGATTTTAATGAAACATGCAGCTAATGGGACCTTGCTTGTATTTAAAGAGAGAGGCTATGCTGCACTGAAGTCTGTGACTGGTGGAAACCACCGATGATGCTGACACAGTTGCTGATCAAAATTAAACCGACCCAGAAAACACATGTTTGACTGTGCTTGGAAAACTCAACCTTGCGGCTGAAGAGAAGCTCTGCAAGTTTGAAAAATGCAAATTCCATTTTCTTCTCTTTATATGGAATCAAGGGGGGGGGTGTTGTCTAGTCCACAGTCTGACACTTCCAAACTTCCTTTCACATTGAACTGCAACTCCAGGTTGGATAATGTACTACTCCAAATTTTGTCCAAAAATAAATGACTTAAAAGATGTGTGCAAATGCATATTCTACTGCTGAATGCATTGAAAATGGATGAAATGTCTATGGGTTTTAAAGTAAAAAATGCACACAAAATGGATACAGCAGAACAGGACAGCATATGCCTGCTTGCCAGGAAGATCCAAATGGTCTTAACTGCTCAGCCCATCTCTTAACTGATATATAATATTAAGAGACATTTCAGTTGCCATGATGGCTAGTATGCCGTGATCAGATATTGTGCAGGAGGTGCAGGATGCTGCTTCTTGGGGCGGTGGGAATAAGTCTAGCCCAACAGTCATGGGTCAAAACAAGACATGACTTAATTTTTTCACAGTAGGCAATTGTGGCTGCCATGGTAGTAGAGCAAAGGATCTGACCTGCATTCTGATAGCCCCTGCTGCTGGAATCCTTGACCCAGCCAGCCTGCTGGGAAGCCTCCTTGTGAAATGGCCAGTGTAAGCTTGGCACAGCCCAAGCTTATGGGATCCCTCTGGAAAACCAGGGGAGTGATCGGTATCATGTCTGGCTCGTCCTCAGCTAGTGGTGTGGCCTGCACAAATCCTCCAAGACCCTTATGGGAGCTACCCTTATGTTTTATATTTTGCCCAATGTCATGTCTACCCCATGTTATGACCAAATGGAATGTTGCCACCAGTCTGCGTCAAGAGACAATGGAGTGTGCCTCCAGGGGTGAAGTCCAGGGGCACAAGCCTTGACAGTGGGTATAGAGGTCCTAGGCTGCCCAGATGACAAGACCCCTCTCCTCTCAGCCTCACTGATGTGGTCCAAAGGAAAGCACATCAATATGTCTGGCACCAGCTTGGCTGCAGGAGTTGCCAGAAGGAGGAGTACAAGACGCCATCCAACTGTCTTGGGGGCTCCACACTGGAATTGTGTACGGTTTTCTCCTTAGCCTTTTGTACTCCTGAAGATATCCTGCAAGGCAGCAAAGGATTAGGATCAGAGTTTTCCTTCTCCTAGGTTGATGAGCCCCATTTGCCTCTCACTTCCCTCTACAGCACGTGCAGAAACCGCCTTCTTAAGCATTGGACCCACTATTGGTCTCGTTCTCTCAGTCTGCTAGAGCCTGTCTTCACATGCAGGGTGTGGCTGCTGTGGCTTGCTGACAGCTTCTAAGAGCCACAGTGAGAGCTGAGTGAAAGGTAGGGACCAGAGATGGGCAAACTACCCCAGAAGCAGTGTGATGTGTCCCCCACCAGAGCTACCACTCCTCCCTTAACACCCCTTCCACCCCACCAAATGGATTCCAAATGGATACAACAATATATAATGCCTAAGAGCAAGGATGTTGCCAATTTTGCATTGAACCAGTTTGTTTCTCTTGAGCAACAGTTGTCAGTTTTGTATTTGTACACCACTTGCAACGTGTTTCTCTCTGTAGTAGCAGTTAATATATTTGATGAATAAAAAAACATCCTGGCTCCATTCTATTAGCTCCCCAATGCCAGGGGACAACAGTGGTGTCCAAGAAAATTTAAGGCTTGAGCATTTTTTGTCTCTCATTATATGTTTAAGCTGTTGATTCTTTTGCTGTGGTTCTACGTCTTTTATGTTTTATTGTCTCATTTGTAGCTATTTTGTTGTGCTTGTTTTTATTGCGGATTGTTAGCTGCCTGGGAGGTGCTGTCCCATATGTGGACAGAAGGGCAGAGTAGATGTATTTTTATAAGTAAAAGAAAATCCTAATTCTGAGAGGGGTTTGCAATTAACATGGGCTATCGGTTGCATTTGAGCTACTGCCATGATACGGTGGGGGTGTTACTCAGTAGGGTGCAAAAAGTGCAATCTGTGCTCAAATAACTGGATTACCATTATCATTTTATACCAGACTGAAAGCAAGTCTGCTGACTATATGCACAAAGGTCACATGACTTTGCCCTCAGAGTCTGCATTAAAATAAATCTAAAGCAAAATGCCATGAGCTAAGCCATCCTCCAAACCTGGCGGAGTCAGATCAATAGTTATTTTCTTCTTGATGTCTGCCATAGTTTCACCGTCTGTTGTACAGAGTCTTAGATGGAAGAAATCCCTGTATATGTTATTAGGCAGAGTTCTCCCACACCCACATGAAGCCATCCTTAATTATCTGCTGAAACTCATAAAAGAGAAACCACATCAGATCCTCCTTAGTGCATAACTCCTTATTAAATACAAAACCCCAAATACCACAAAACTTGAAAAGAAAGCCAGCAAAATGACACAATGGTAATGTACTGTGAATGTGAATGTTACAACATATGGAGAGCAAGTATATAAAACAGCAAGACTTGCAGATCTAAAATTAACACACTTCGGACTCCTGCAGAGATCAGAGTGGACTTCAGAAAAAACACACTGATTAAGCTAAAAGGCTCTAATGAACACTGCGGACACACAAACAAACACTGTGTTGCTAACATGCTGAAGAGCAAAAGGTCTTTAGTTTAATCTCACTCTGGTGTACAACGGAAGCAATTTCAGGGAAAGTTCACCAGCACAGAAGAGAGCAGGTTCAAACTCTGGTCTAGAAATTTAGAGAGCATTTCAGGACATAGTAAAATGGCTTTCCATGAATGAGACCATCTGGCTCAGTATGGTCTACACAATGGCTAGCATCACCTCTCCAGGATTTCTGACAGAGGTCTTTCCCAGTTGTATCTGGAGGTACTGGGGACTGAACTGGGAATCTTTGGTATGGCCTATAGTCAAGCATTTTGAGAGTACATTTGCAAAGAATGATCAGACAACCCCAAAGCGCCGTAACAATGTCATCTCATTATAAACTTATCTAATGGCATAGTTGCAGCTAGGCCCCCACAGTCAAATGATGGGTGGAGGGAACATGGCAAACAGAGAAAGGGAAATGTCCTTTCTTCTCT